CCTGCCCCCCCCACCCCTACCCCCCCATCCCCCTGGCCCTGCAGGGCACTTGGTGCTAGCCGGTGGCATGGCACCGGCCCCCTTGCCATGCTTTGTCCCCCATCGCTGCTGCTTGAACCCCCCTCAAAGGAGGGGACAAAGGGGGTGCCAGGGCCCCCCTTGCCCCTTTTCTGCCCTCACCCCAATGTGCAGCTCTGGGGGTGCTCAATTCCTTCCCCAGACCAAGCCCCTGGGGCTGCCCCTGTGCTGGGGAAGGGGCTCAGCGGGGGGGCTGGCAGTGGGGGACCCCCCCCAGGCTGGGACCCCACTGCTCCGCGTGCTTTCTCCTGCTGCTTTGGGACCCTTGAGGTCATTAAACGCCTCCTGAACCCCTCTCCTGCAGTGTCCCTCAGTGCCCCGGGGGCCCCCTCGGGTGAAGCAGGCACCCATGGGTGCAGATGGCTGCTGCCATGGGGATGTGGGTGGCTGGAGCGGGTCTCCTGCATCCACAGTGGGTGGCCTGGGGATGGTGGTGGGGTCCCATGGGGCATCCCTGGGGCTGCCAGCAGGGTGGGACAGGGCCATGGGGGGATGGGCTGTGGTGACCCAGGGGACATGTGGCTGTGCCGTGCCATCCATAGGACGCCAACCTACACCATTCCACCCCTGGGACACCTACCCAGACAATGCCACCCCTGGGATACCCTCCCATGTCAGGCAATCCATGGGGCACCCACCCCACCCCATGCCACCCAGGGGACACCAACACACACCATTCTACTCCTGGGACACCTTCCCATGTCAGGCAATCCATGGGACACCCACCCACCCCATGCCACCCAGGGGACACCTACCCATACCATTCCACCCCTGGGACACCCATCCATCCCATGCCACCCAGGGGACATCCACCTACCCCATGCCACCCATGGGACACCAACCCACACCATTCCGCCCCTGGGACACCTACCCAGACAATGCCACCCATGCGACACCCACCCATGCCACACCACCTGTGGGCTGCCCACCCATGTCAGGCAATCCATGGGACACCCACCCCACCCCATGTCACCCAGGGGACACCAACCCACACCATTCCACCCCTGGGACACCCTCCCGTGTCAGGCAATCCATGGGACACCCACTCACCCCATGCCACTCAGGGGATACCCTCCCATACTACACCACCCCTGGGACACCCACCCACACTCTGCCACCCATGGGATGCCCACCCATGTCAGGCAATCCATGGGACACCCACCCACGCCACACCGCCCCTGGGATGCCCACCCGCTCCACAGCACCCACAGTGCTGGGGGCACAAGGCAGCTGCCAGGGGACAGGGACACACCCAGGCGCACTGTGCCAGCTGGGGCTGTCCCTGCAGTGTGCCTGCAGCCCCACCCGGTGCCTCAAGGGACAGCAGCGTGGGTGGCGTGACATCATACGTGGTGTCATGCTCATGTCATGACATTGCATGGGTAGCGTTTAATGCCAGGCACGGCGTGGGATCCCACACGACACCCAGCCTGGCCTGTGGTGTCACTTGCTAGGGCTCGAGCTGTGCCACCAGGTGACATCATGCGCAGCCTGTGGTGTCACTTGCAGAAGCTCGATGCCAGCCG